GTCTGTGCTGCTGATCTTGTTCTTAGAACAGGACTGATCTCCTACCAGTGTTTCCCAGCCCAGATCTGTGTGGGAAGGTGGCAGGATGGCTGAGAGGATGAGCACTGACAAGCTGGAGGAGCAGCTGCTCTGTCCCATCTGCCTGGGGGTGTTCAAGGAGCCCCTGATGCTGCAGTGTGGGCACTTGTCCTGTCAGCCCAGCATGCTGTCCCTGCCCAGGCTGCTGGAGGGGCAGCCCCTGTGCCCCGTGTGCTGCCAAGTGCATGCAGTCCCCTGGCACCCAGCACTGTGCTGGCCCGTGAGGGCAGAGCCCACCTCAGAGTCTTGCCCAATGCACCCCACAGATGCACAGGCATAGAATCATGGTATGCTTTGGCTTGAAAGGGACCTTAAAGATAATGTCATTCCACCCCCTTTCATGGGCAGGGACATCTTTCACTGTCCCAGGCTGCTTCAAGCTCCAGTCAACCTGGCCTTGGGCACTTCCAGGGATGGGCCAGCCCCAGGTTCTTTGGGCACCCTGTGCCAGGGCCTTTTCACCCTCACAGGGAAAAATCTCTTCCATTTATCTAACCTAAATTTCCTCTTTTTCAATTTGAATGCATTTCCTCCTGATCTATCTGTAGGGAAAAGAGGGTCTGGGATCAACAAGTAGCTCAATATGAGGTATACATCTTGTTCTCTTTATTGCTAACTGGCATGCTCTTATATACCATTGCCAGCTATTCACGTGGCTTAAGCTTACATATTATTGGTTACAAGTGGCTGTTCAGGTGCCTTAACCAGTGCTATGATTGGTACAGGCCAGCTCTTCATGCTCCTGCTTATTTCTGCAATATTTCTGCCTTGCGGTTTACAGATATCCTGCTGGCACATCCTGCTATCATGGTGCAACCAGCCCACTTCCTCTTATCTTGTGGTCCAAGGGCAATTCAAGGACTCTCTGCTAGCTTCAGGCCTGGGTTATGCACCCCCTGCAGAAGCCTGTGTCCTTTCTTCTGCAGCCAAGCCTCTACATCTATTCAGTTCCTGATGAAAAGTTCAGTTCCTGAGCTTCTTCGTAGCCCCCTTCAGGTACTGAAACTTTCTCTTTTCCAGACT